GTCTAATGAACAAAATAAACAGATGAATAAAATAGAACCAGAGGCATGGAAACAGACTGAGGAATTTCAGAGGGAAGGGGGAAGGAGGGGCGGGAAGAGATTAACCAAAGATCTTATATGCATAATGCATTACCTATGAACTCAGACAATAGGGTAGTGAAGGCCTGGGGTGAGGTGGGACCCAGGGTGGAGGAGGGCAATGGGGGGGGGGGGGCGTTAACGTCTAAAATAACTTCAACAATAAAGATATTTTCTTTTTAAAGAATAGAATTTAGTTCCTCCCAGGGTCTATTTCTGTTCCTACAGGTGGACAAAAATTTTAAAATTTTAAGCTAATTATGGAATTAGAGGAATATGTTTGACACATAATTTTCAGTAAACATTTGCTGAAGAAATAGTGAGAGGGTGAGTGAGCTGGGGGGGCGGGGGGAGGGATGAAAGGTGGCAGCCTACTCTACTTATGCAGAACGCTTTTGGTCCAAAGGAAAGAAAGAAGTGCTCTGTTAAATATTTTGAAAACTTATAGAATTCTTCTACTCAGTGGACAGTTACAAGATGTTTTATCTTTTCTACAAGAGCAGAAGATAGTAATAAGATAACAGCATAAAGTGCTTACAGTGTACTAAGTCCTCTTCAAATACATTACCTCATTTAATCCTCAAATGAAGGAACCACCCTTTTTTTACAGATATGGAAAATAAGACTTGGGCTAAATTTAAGTCTTCTGACGCAAGATCCCCTAAGTTATCTTTCCTCTGCTATCCCGTCTACAGTGAAACCCTACCACATGCCAGAAAGAGCTTGATCCATTGATGAACCATCTCATTTTATAGAAGCAAAAACTGATTTAAGGGACACACTGTAAATAAAGAAATGATAGGTCGTCAGTACTTCTTCCCTACAAAACACAAAATCTATATTGGTTCCAGGGTAGACACAAGAGCGTTATCAAAGGAAATTTAATTCCTTCATATATTTTTGTTAAAATAAAAATAGAGTTTATACTGTTTGAGAGAGTTTATATATTAATGTGAATGAAAGAAGCAGGTTGCTAAGGGTGGATCACAAGATTCTTCTACCTCATGAGTCTCTTAACATAATTATTTCAAGAGTCGAAGTTTAACTTTGGAAGACCGGCACACAGCTGTGAAGGGCAGTGACCAGTGTTCACCACTTACTGACCCTGAGACTTCTCTGGACCTCAGTTTCCTCTCATATAAAGTATCCCTTCAAAGATACTGAGAGACTAAAATGATATGCCCACAGGGTTCAGTACAGGGCTGCCCCCTAGTGAGAGATGGTAACTGTGTACCAGGATGATGATTGTTACTTAAACTTATTCACATTATTTGACCCTGCAGTCAGGCAAAAGCAAGTTCCATATTGATTTTGTCAACACAGGCAAAATTTTCAAGCCAAGATGTTTGCTTCCAAACACAATCTCTTCAAAGATGTTTTAACTATTCTGGCAGAAACAAATGTAATCAACACATTTTTAGTGTCTCCTTCCAAGTTTCAAGAATGTGTGAAAATGCTCCACAAAATATTTTTCACTATGAAGATGGCACAAATTTGATGGCTACCTTTAGCATTTATTTCTTATTCATATACAGGGAAAATCAACCATAGATATAACTATTCTTCTTATACAGCAAAGGATTTTAAACTTTTGCATGTTCTTCATTTAACTGAAAAGATAGAGGCATTCTAATGCTCACAGAGACCCTAAATCTATGCAACTATTTTATAACTAAATTTTCACAAACTGGTTATGAAATCCAAGTGACTAGAAATAGTAAAAGAAAAATACATTTTCATTAAAAAAGATAAAATGATTCAGAAAGAAATGAGTTAGTCAACTGTAAACCAAATGACCTTTGTTTTCAAGATCTGTAGAGCAACGCTACCATTTGAAAGGTGAAACATTTAGATGTTATCCTAGTCCTTGAATTCTAAGTAAAATTCTGTAGCATAAGATTCATCAAAGACTTGGTTAAAGAAAAAGGTATTGAATAAATATTATATTTCAGTGAAACTGAATACTAATGTATTCTAATATCTTGAGATGGTTTTCAATTTTTTAAGGTTTTATAATTAATAAAAAGCCAATTAATAAAAACATTCAACTACTCATTATTCAGGTCCTGACAATATAATTTGTATAATATCCACACTCCTCTCCTCCTTCTCTCTTTGGCTTCTTTCCTCATTAGGTCACTACACTCTTTATTGTCAATTCACCAAAGGATGAAAGGAGTATATAAATAGTTCAGTTTTCATTAGTTAATACAACTACATAGTATGGTTGAAAGTTAAAATTTAACCTCTCTGAGTTTCCATTTCTTCATTCTATAAAAGAGGAACTGAATGTTTTGCCTATTACATGCACTTGTTAGGATGGTCCAAAGACACAATAAGTCTGTCTGAAAGCCTTTTTCAATTCCAAAGCAATATACAAATCTAAAGTATTGCTTTTAAAAAAAATTATTTATACCTCCTTATCACAGTAAAGGTATGCTGTGAGATTTCTATCAGGCACTCAAGTAGAGGCTGGCTGGGCCACCTCACAGAACCCCTGAGCCTGGAGGGACAATCTAGGTCAGCAAGGATTTAAAGAGGTAGGCTGGTCACCTACACTAAGAAAGACAAGTTTCACAGGATCAGTAAAGCTCAAGTCAGAGGCTTGAACTAAGTCTAAGGTTAAGAAAAGTTTAAAGAATTGCACACTATTCTACTTAGAAGCTAACTCAAAAGTCACCAAGCCCAACCTGCTTGTCTCAAAGTAAGAATTGGATCAAATGGAGAGAATATGAAAGAGTTCTTGAAGGAACAAATAAAAGGAATAGGGGCTGACAGCCCATTTCTGGGATGTAATATTAATCAAGGGCTAAAAGCCCTCTAATTCTCCAATGAAAAATATAGACTCCAATGCAAAAGAGCTCTGTGCAAAGTTCTAACCGAAGATAATGAAGCAGAGTCCAACACCTCCAAGGTAACAGGAAGAATGTCCTAAGGGCAGTAGCTAAGCTGTTGGTTCTGACTCTGTATGGCACCAAACAAACAGTTTATCTAGACTACAGGGAAGTGAGTCATCAAACTCCTCAGATAAATAAAGGTTATATCATTCATTTTTTACCCAGAAGATAGGAGACTTTGGTAATATCTCCATATCCCAATTCTTTTATAAATTTGAATGGCAGGTTTATGACTTATTTTCACATGAATTTTTGAATGAAGTTTCAAAAATTATTAGATATACAATTAGGAGGGGGAAAGAGGCTTCTGTACCAATGAGGGAACAGATTTTAAAAGTTTCCATTAATGAAAACATGTAAGGCTTACTTGATTCCAAATTATGCAAAAAACAGTTGGAAAACATATGTGAACAAACCAAGTGGTTTCATTCATAAACATGTGGCAACCAAGTCGCTTCCTCTTGCACTGACCTTCACACCAGACCTACAAAATTAATGACGTAGACTGGATGCTTCCTTCTTTTTTTTAAATATATTTTTATTGATTTCATAGAGAGGAAGGGAGAGGGAGAGCGAGATAGAAATGTGGATGTGAGAGTGCAACATTGATCGCCTGCCTCCTGTCCGCCCCCTGCCGGGCCTTGACCAGGAATTGAAAGCATAGACTGGATGCTTTCTCTTTAAAATGCAGCCACTGTAAAATGTAAATAGAATTGATGACATAATATTGGCAAGGTGTGGTAGTGTCTATAAACAGGAACACCTCAGGAGAACCAGCAGCTAAGGCCAATGATGACGGTGCACATGAGCCTTAATAAACACCTCATCCTGTCACTGTGCAAATGACAGAATGGCCTGGCCAAGAATGTGTAACATCACATATACAGTACACAGATTTTTTTGCTAACAAAGTTAGAAATAGCTTTAGGAAAAAAACCATCAACTCCTAACTAATAACATGTATAAGAGGTTGCTTGGGTAATGTACTTCTCACAAAGGCAAATAAATATTCACTTTTTTTTTAATCCTCACTAGAGGACATGCTTAGAGAGCGGAAGGAAATGAGAGAGAGAGAGAAAGAGAGAGAGAGAGAGAGAGAGAGAGAGAGAGAGAGAGAAGAAAAAACATTAATTCGTTGCCTCCCTTATATGCCCCCCAACAAGGGATCGAATCCAAAACCCAGGTATGTGTCCTGACTGGGAATCAAACTGGCAACCTTTTGGTGCACAGGACAATGCTCAACCAACTGAGCCATTCCAGCTGGCCGCTCAGTTACACTTTAAAGACAACTAAAAATCCCAGAGAAGTAACTTATCTAAAGCTAAATATCAGTGTTAGGAATAAAGAGCTCAACTTCCTGGCAGTCTGTATTGTATTCAAATGCTTCCCAAAAGATTCTGATTTTTAGACTGGGGCCGGGGAATAACTCACGTAACAAAGACAGAATAGAGTAGGGCAATTTCATGGGTGCCCCTCGCCTCCCAATATACACACACACAGAGACTTGAAAGCAATTATGTGAGTGTTTTTGTATATAAAAACTGATAGAGAATTAGAATTTGGCTTTTCAAACTTATCGATCAGCCAGTCAGTAGTAATAACTGTATTGTATCCCCCCTGCATTTGTCATGAAGCTATTATCTTGGCATGACTGCTTTCTGATTTAATTGTTACCTACAGTGCAGCTAAGTTTCCAAAGGCTATTCCACAGGAAAAGTCAGGCAACTTGAGCTACAGAAATTCAAAGATGTGCATTCTCTTAAAGAGGTAGTCCCACAATAACAAAAATGCAGGCTTTTGAAATTAAAGTGTGATAAAAGAAATGGATGTCATACAAAAATAAAATCATAATAATCAACTCTAAGGCTACAAATTAAATGCAGCAAGAACTCTACAGCTTTCACATTTAAACTAATAAGAATATACTAGTAACTTTTACAAAAAGGCAAATTACAGAACCTATCAGATGTGAGCACCTGGAGTACTTATTTACACCTTTCACTTAAGGTCCCTGGGGTCACTTACCTCATTTTCACCTGTGTCCTTGGAAGTAGAGGGCACATTAGTACAGAGGGAATGACATGTCTTTTTTTCAACCTGAAAATGCTGTATTGCATGCGGGCGAAATCTCTCAGTGTTTGGCTTTTCTTGCCCACTGCTATCATTTTGGGATGGGTCTTCCGAGAACCCACTTTCTTCAAGTGATCTCTCTGTAGCACAGTGGGTGGGATTTAAGCTGGCTGCCTTTGGGAAAGGAAAAAGGTCAGTTCTGCTCTGGAATGTTATGTCTCTTGGGCTGACATCCTCTAAGTGTTTCTTCCCCTTTGCACCGTACGGAGCGCTGTCTTTTTCTGAAATCCTTTCATCCTGCTCACTGACTTTGGCTCCTGTTTCACTGTCTTTAGCAGGAGAGATGTTCACCCGGTGAGACCCACTGCTCGCAGCACCGGGCAGAAGTTTGTGCTGCACACTGCCAGCTACTCCGTCTGTCTTCCCTGGTTGAATACCACCTTCCCGTGTGAGGGCTGGGGTAGCGGATTCTTCCCGTACCAGTCGCCGGGATGAAAGAGCTGGCTGTTCCCTCGAGAGCCGAGTGCTGCTTCTCTGCTTTCCTTCATTTTCATGGTTTGGCTCGACTGGCTCTGTGTCATCTACAACTTTCTTGATCAGTTTTCTTCTGAAATATTTTCTTCCGGGAGAGTATTTTTCGGGGCTGAAAGGAGTTTTGGCAGGATCTACATATTGTTCTTCCTTCTCAGCTCTTACACATCCACAGACATTCCCCATTTGCTTTGCAGGAAATCACAGTTCCACAGATTCACTCATTTCCAAATACAGGGCTTACTTGGATCTTCTCCATTAAATCCCAAAATTCCACGCTGACCTCTGGTTCCTCAGACTTTGTGACCATCCTCTTCAGCACGAGGCCATGTTGCTTATGAGAAAGGCGCACGCAAGAAAGGCCATGGCAGCCTGCCCAGCTGCGTCCCTGTGTCTCATTAGACAGTGTGGCTTATTTCTGGCCACCAATCCTCTTAGACAAACATCACTGCTCGCTGTCAAATTACAACTCGGAGGAGCTCGCAAGGCAAACCCTGGGCTTTATTATACAAGAAGATTCTGACCCTCACTTTAACTTTTGGTTTTCTGAGCTGCAGCTACGCTACCAAAGTTTGCGTTAACCTTTGAAACTATTGGTGGTTCAGCAAATCTGATTGCAAACAGAAAGCAAATGCCAGTTAAGAGACACTTAGCAAAGTGCCTTTCACATTTAGTTTCAAAGTGCCTTTCAAATTTCCTTTCAGAGTCTCTACCCTCTAACTTTTCTTTTTTCCTTAAGAAACACCAACTAATTTTGGCACTTGGGAAAAAAAAATAAAAACCTCAAAAATATCTGTAAAATAGATTAAGACTCATTCAAAACAGCAGCCATAAAACAAAAAAAAGAACAATTTAATAGCTGAAGGAGATAAATGCAAAGTGCTTAAAATAATCAATCTTTTAAAATTGTAGTACTTTTCCTATGACATAAATTTCCAAGCCATTTCCATTATGTGCTCATTAGGATTTTCATATAAGCAAACAGATAAGATTTATGATTTAAAGCATGGGACACTTAGCCAAAAGAAACACTTGCGTGTTCTCATACACGAATTAGGGCAGTTAAACTTTATATGTAACTTTTATAATTGTACCCTAGTTAAATATTATTCAGTTTTTCTAGGGCACTGCTATAAAAATAATAAGCCAGCATGGAACCTGATTAAGGTGTGCATATTTCTAACACTGAGTCATAGATACAGTACAAAGGAAATTAGTATGGCTGGACTTACACGTAAGCAGAAATCATCTGACTAATAAAAACAAATTGATAATTGCCTTTCTCTAGGTAGTGTTTGGACTGATCAAAGGATGAAACTCAGTATGGTGATTACCAGAGGGAAAGGGAGGTGTGGGAGGTAGCAGAGGGCAAAGGGGGAAGAAGTGGTGGAAGGAGACTTGACTTGGGGTGGTGAACACACAATACAATATTCAGATGAAGTTATTATAGAATTGTACACCTGAAATCTATATAATTAACCGATGTCACCCCAATAAATTCAATAAAAAAATTTAATACAAGATGAAACTCATTATGTTTTTTAAAATCCTATATAATAAAACCCTAATATGCAAATCGACCAAACAGCAGAACGACTGGTTGCTATGACACACACTGACCACCCAGGGACAGACACTCAACGCAGGAGCTGTCCCCTGGTGTTCAGTGCACTCCCACAAGGGGAACATCACCCAGCCAGAAGCTGGGCTCACAGCTGGAGAGCACAGTGGGGGTGACGGTAGCCTCTCCTGCCTCCGCTGCAGCACTAAGGACCCCTCGGGGGATGTCCAACTGCTGGGGAGCGGGCCTAAGCTGGCAGGCAAACATCCCCCAAGTGGGCCTGGACTGCGAGAGGGCACAGGCTGGGCTGAGGGACCCTCCCCCCAGTGCACAAATGTCCTGCACCAGGCCTCTAGTAAGAATATAATTAAACAGCCAAGTAAGCAATGCTGTTGATATTTGTCAATAATAGGCCTGCATGGTGAACTTCTCCTTAATCATTTAAAGAGAAAAGTAAACAATCTTCAATGGCAAAAACTGAATATCCTAGAAGACAAGCTGGCAAAAATAAAGCCTCTGGTTTGTTTGCTCATTTTTAATTTGATTTGCAATGTTGATGGCAATAAAACATCATTCAAGATAATTTAAAAGTGGAACAACTTGTCCAGCCGATGTGGCTCAGTTGGTTGAGAATCATCCTAGGCACCAAGAGGTCACCGGTTCAATTCCTGGTCAGGGCACATGCCTGGATTATGGGCTTAATCCTTGGTAGGGGGCATGCAGGAGGCAGCTGATCAATGATGTTTCTCTCTCATCAGTGTTTCTATCTCTCTCTCCCTCTCCCTTCCTCTCTCTAAAATCAATAAAAACATAATTTTTTTGAACAGTGGAATGACTGGTATCTGTACTGACACAACAGAGGCACAGCCAGTGATCTGCACAGCACCCACCCTGCCTCCAGCCCTCCCACACTGAGCAACTGTCCACCCTCTCTCAGAAACACCCAACTTCACTCTCTGCCTGGTAGCTGGCAATCATCTTGCAAAGCCGATCTCTAATATCAGTGAAAATTTCCCTTATTCTCTAAACCTTCCTGATCCTACTACAACACTCCTTCTCTACACCCCTATTTTTATTTCTATCACAGTAGATTCATCACCCTAGATTATAGTAAGTTTTATGAACATTCTCCCAATAGATAGAACAACACACTTCCTTATCTTAGTATCTCCTGATCTAGCCTATGGTGGCTAAGGATACAGAATTACTGTGTTGACCATACTTACCTTCAGATAGCCTGATTAGAAAAGAGATTCAATTTATGGTGCTTATAACAGATAGTTTAGAAATAAATAAACTTGTCTTCTGTAATTACTTCCCTTATTTATGTAACGTATAGAGAGAGAGGGAAAAAAGCCCAGTCACTTTGAGTGAGGATGATTACCACTGCTATAAATAGCCTTGTATCTTGGCATAACCAGTAAAATCGTTCTAATCTTTAATTGTCACACTACTAAGAAAAGTCATTTCATCTAAATGAAGGAACATTTCTGATTTACCAAAACACTGATGTGTTTCATTTTAAGTAGATCTTGGTCTAATTTTTAAAAACTGGTAATAATTTAACAGTCATTACCTTGTATTCCGGGTCCTAAAATACACTGGATTCTATAATATAGGCCACAGAATCATACTAGAAGAAAAACTTCCTTTTGGTTTTCTTGTGGCTGGTCCTCCTCTCTCTTCAAAAGACACCTGAACTCCAAAGAGCTTTCTTAATATATAATTATTTTTTGAATGACTTTTCACTTACATTTCCTCAAACATACTACTTCTAATTCACAACCATTTACTGACATTTTGGTCCATTATATTTTCTGGTATCTGCTCACAGTAGCTTGAGAGTATTTTCTCCATGGTTTCCAAAGTCTTCCTTCTATACAAAACTATTAAGTACCAAAACTATGAAAACTAAAACTATCAGTATTTTTTAATCCTTACCCAAGGATATTTTTCCATTGATTTTTAGAAAGAGTGGAAGGGCAGGAGGGAGACAGAGAGAGAGAAACATCGATGTGAGAGAGACATATCGATTGGTTGCCTCCTGCACGCACCCCAACACGGGTTGGGAATTGAACTTGAATGGAATCAAATCTGGGACTCTTCAGTCTGTGGGCCAATCCTCTATCCACTGAGCCAAACCAGCCTGGACTAAAACTATCAGTCTTAAAGTTCTCAAGCTCTCTGGTAGCATTTCATACTGTTCACTATTCCTTTCTACCTGAAAATATCTTCCCTTGATTTTGTCAACACTACATTTCCCTGTTGCTTCACCCATCTCATCAAATGTTCCTTTTTTGTTCCCCCAAACAGATCTTCTTCCTCCCTCACCCCAATCATGGGCCTTCCCCTAAATGTCTGTCCTTTGCTCTTGGCTCTTCTCCATGTATGCCATCTCTTAGGTCCCCTAAAGACCCCTCGTCTCTGGTAGATTCATTGGCCACTTCTGTACTGGTAACTCCCAGGTCTATCTGTACCTTTGACCTCTCAGCTCTGCTCTGCTCACAAATCTCCAACCTCTCAGCAGACAAATGGAAAGGATACCCCACCATGCCACTGATCCCGCTAAGGTCTTAGGTTTTCCCCTTACCAAGATCCCCATTTCTCTCAATAGTTTGCTTTTTTGTTTGTAGGTTGGTTGGCGTCAGCTGGTTTTTATCTCCCAGGCTGTAAGTTATTCACTATCACCAAGTCCCTTTCTTTCTTCCTTTAAAATGCCATCTCTCGGGGTCCATTTTCCATCCCCACCTGAGTCTTGGCCTTTATCACTCCATTTAGAAATCACCACCTCAGCTTCTTAGATTATCTCCCTCATTATGGACTCTGCTCATTTCAATTTATTTTACATAGAATTGATAGGCTGAGTTTCCAAAATTATTTTTCAGGTGCAGAGTGATTAAGTGACTTATTCAACGCCGTCACAGCCATAAATAAAAGAGCCAACAATGAAACTTAACTCTGCCTCCCCCCAAAACCTGAGTGTTTCCCCACTGCCCCACAGGGATTCTCACTCCAACATTCAAAGCACAACCTGTCTCACCAGCTCCGTCGGTAATGATGTGATTGGCTCCCTGTCCCAATAGGCCTCTAACCCTCCAAAGTGGGGTTCTTGCAGTTTCAACCCTACTTAAAGTCGAGGAACCTGATCCACTCAGGGCTGATTAAAAGACGCCCTGAGAGAGCTGCCGAGGAAATCCATGTGAAATCAGCTTTTGGCCAGTTCTACTCAGTCTTTACCCAATTCTGGTAACAAGGTCTGGCTCCATGCCCAAATCTCTGCCTTGGTTTATGGCTCAGTCCCCTGGGTCCCCTGAGGATGGGGTCCTCTAGAAATGGAAGCCCACAGGCCTTCAGGGTCCTGCCTCCAGTTCCTGTTACTGGGTCTCCGACATCGATGCCCAGATGAGTGGACATGCACCTATGTTAGCTGCCCTGCAGTCTGGCTGCCTGACACCTGGTTCCCTGGGTCTCCTGGTACCTGAGTCTGCGCCTCTGATTTCTGGTTGCTGCAACTTCTCTCAGCTGCCTGTTCAGAAGCTGGAACCTACCTAGACCAGTGATGGCGAACCTTTTGAGCTCGGCGTGTCAGCATTTTGAAAAACCCTAACTTAACTCTGGTGCCGTGTCACATATAGAAATTTTTTGATATTTGCAACCATAGTAAAACAAAGATTTATATTTTTGATATATATTTAAATATATTTATATATTTAAATGCCATTTAACAAAGAAAAATCAACCAAAAAAATGAGTTTGCGTGTCACCTCTGACACGCGTGTCATAGGTTCGCCATCACTGACCTAGACTCTACTTTCTGTAGCTCTCCATACCTGTCAGACTTTTCCTATTCCCAAATGAGCCCCAGGTACATGATTTTCCACCATTCCCCTACAAACCCTATGTCCTAGTCGAATTTTTAAAATATAA